ACCCTAACTTTCACATAAGACAGCCGGCAAAACAACAAACTTCAGCTGACGCTGTGCTTTGGTAAACACGGGATAAACTCTGTTTTTGAACTTTGGCTCTCAGTAAGGAGGCTCAAGAGACAAACTAACAGGGTCTCTGAGTTTCAATCCATGCCTTGAGTCAAGATTTGAGTTTTTCCTTCTCCTGTAGGCTGCGTTGTTCTGTTGGAAGCAGTCACCCCAACCCCCATGTTCATTCATGTTCTTGTTGCCATTCCTTTATTATGACCACTTTGTCCCCAGAAATCTTGCCTTCAGTGGGCACTTTATTCCCAGGGACCACAGATGATCATTGAAGTAGCTGTTTCTATTACTGCATGATACTAATTCTACGCCTTCTATTTACTAACTGGGTCTCTAATGTCTTCAGCCACACTAAGCCAGACAACTAATCCCAGATTCTTCCATTTCTTGAGGGACTGTTGTCTACAACTCACTCACTGGCCCAGTTTCTACACAAGACAGTGTTCTTGGTTGCAAAGAACAGAAGCAGGAAATACGTTTATTGGGATGTTAATAAGTAGCCCAGGGAATTTACGTGGCCAGGACTACAGTTAAATCACGCAATGGTTAAAGTCTAGTTGGTTGCTTCACCCACCACCAGCGCCACCACCAGTGCCAGCCTTGGACACTGATGCCACAGTCAGCACTGCACCAAGACACAAGACGCCACTGCCACCTCTTACCACCATCGTCAGAATGAATTTCTAAATAATTCCATGCTTTATGCAACACTCATTCCACATTCAAATATCTCACTGGTCAAGCTTAGGTCACAAGCCCATGTTCTAACTGCCAGAGAACCCGAAGGGGAACTCGATGCCTCCATCCAGCTTCCATGATGGGAGGTGAAGCTGGGATTCCACCTATCTTAAGATTTCCCCAAATGAGATAGGATATTTGTATACTTGGCAGCCAAAAGCAACAGATTACCTGATAGGTATGTTTTATTAGAGAAAAATCAGAAAAACTAGTCTGTTAAGTAATCATCCTAGGAATTTTAGTAGAGGTGGTGATAGTACCAAATATTGTTTAAGTGTTGAGAAAGTATAAGCAATATTGATGATCGCTGTGGAAATTGTCCATGCACTAGAGATATTGGGAGTGGTGGCCATATCACTTGTGTATGGAATTCCTAGAATGAGGGTACTGGGGAAAATTTGGTGTTGACAAAATAAATCCCAGTAGCGGGTTGTTGGTTGCTTATTGAACATCTATCCTCTGCCCTTTTTCCTTTCTAACACACTCCTTTTTTGTTCCCATAGTCAGTATGAGTCAGGGAAGAGTGACCCCATCCCAGTGCTATGGGTAGATCCTGCGTAGTCGAAGGCAATCAGCGCGATCCCATCCCCCTGCCAACGCCCAATGGGTGAACGACACCATTCTGATCAACAAGACAGTGAGGGAAAATCTGCTAGGGGCTCCCGGGAAAGAGTCCCTAGCAACTAAGAAAGAGACACAGGAAGGATTATCTCTCTTGTTGCTCTGGACCTTCCAATTCTGGTCCATTCCCTACTTTCAGCCTGAGTTAGGCAGATAAGAGAATTGGTAAGAACCTGGGCTCTTGATGACGTCACTGAGCTACTGACTTTCTCATTCCTAGAGGCTGATCTGTCTCCGGACTTTTTATAAGGTAATACAAATCCTTAACGTTTAACCAGTTTGAGTCACAATTTCCATAACTTGCAGCCAAAACATCCTAAGTGATATATAAAGATGCTCCCTCACCACCACGCTTTCCCCACCAAACCTCACACCCACCAGGCATCCACCCCCTCACCTTCAGGGCATTTCTCCTCCTTGGGTCCCCTGCGTGGCCCTGTGCATGTTTGTCTACCTTCCCAGGCTGGTATTCCTTCTCCCTACGGTTTGTTGTCCAAAGCCCCATCACTCCTCCCAGTGAAACGGAATACCCACCCAGAGGAGGCTGCAGATCTGCAACAAGGAAAACCACAGATGCCCTGGTGGTCTCTGAACCCACATCTGAACCCCTCCCTGGGGACTCAGAACACCTGCAGGGAGTGGTGGCGTCACAGAGGGCTGAGGTCCTCTCGTGCAGGGACAGAGCAGCACAAACCCAGTGCCAAATGGGTGAGGTCATGTTTATTGTTTGCTGTGTGGCCCCAGTAGGTCACTCACCCTCTTGAGTTTCAATTTCCTGACCACTTTCACTTCCTTACACAATCTTCCTTGGGAGGGTCCTATGGGCTGCCTGTTGTGCAATGCCTTTGTACGTAGCAGAGCCCTATCTGCAAGTGGGGGCAGGGGCCTCTGGCTGTCAAGAGACCTTCTGGAGTCCCCTGGAAGGGCCCTGGCATCGCCCCCTCCTGACAGCTCTCTGCACTTATCATAGAGTTGCTTTTGGACTCCTGCAGGCTAATGGGTTCACCTATGTCAACATTATCTTTTCTAGGCATTCATAACCGTTTTAGGAACAGGCACCTTTGCTTGCGTAGGTAGCTGCCAGTTACATGTGGTGGGCACACAGAGTCTTGCTGACTGTTACGTCCTTCACCACCATCATCATAACCACCACCAACTCTCTCCTCAGATAACCTGGTCAGGGAGAGGCCAGGAGTCTGCCCGGGACCAGGGACAGGGAACACCCTTCGAAAGGTTGACCCTTGCCCATAGCTTCCTAGTCTCTGTATATCACCCTAAAGCTAATATATGTGTAATTAACATACTTTCATAATGTCCCTAAAACCACACAAGTCACACCCCCAGCCCTGATCCTCTTCCCTCAGTGACTCCAGCCTGCGCTGCTGCACCCCCAAAATGCCTGGATGGGGAAAGGAAGCACGACGGGGCATGGTGGGCTGAGGGGGCCTCTAAGGGCCTACATTCCCTGACGAGTTACATCATGGCCCAACCTGCAGAATGCCAGAGACCCCCACCCTCAAGCCCCTGCACACTTACCACGCCTCCCCACATACCTGCAGGTCCTTCAACTAAGCTCCTTCTTTACCTGGGACCTGGGGCTCGCTGCCCCAGATCCCTCGCCCCCACAACCACCCTGCCCTCTGCATCCCTGGGCTCTTCCCTGTCCTTGGGGAGAGGACCCAAAAGTCTGTTCTGCACTGTAACCAGTCCCTTCCCATAGAAACGACCGTGGCAAGGTTCCAGAAGGACCCCCGAGCCTGTGTCTCCCCCTCAGTCCTCAGCCATTTCTAACTAGGGAGGCTCTCCCCCAAGACGTGGGGAAGATACCGGACGCCCCCGACTCCTTCCCTCCCCAGTCAGGGCTGCAGCCTGGATAGTACTTCTGTGAGGTGTGGACAGGCCCAGCCCTCTAGGAAGAGCAACCTGCAGGGTGAGGGCAGGCAGAGAGCGCCATCTAGGTGTAGAAAAAGCCCAGCTTCCCTCTGGAGAGCCGGGGTGTAAATTCCAGCCCCATTCGGCCCTCAGCCAGGGGCTTGGTATAGGCCACCAAGTACACAACCACAAGCCATCCCCCTTCCTCTGCACCTGCAGGTCCAGGGTGACCACTTTAGCGCCCCAAAGGCAGGCAGGGGTCACGGCCTGGGTGTCCAGCCCTTTGGAAGCCCCGTTCTCTGCAAAGGGAGGGAGATAAGGGCAGAGGCCAGCCACCTGCAGCCCTGCCTGAGGCCAGCACACACAGGGATGGCAGGGCCAGGTCTCACTCAACTGTCGTCGGAGTTGTCGCTGTGGCACGGACCCTGAGACAGAGAGCCAGTGGCCCGATCCGGATCACCAGCATCTATCAGGGAGTGGGGCCTGGTTACAGGGTCTTCCCTCATCAAGAGGGACAAAGAAATGAGCATCTGCCAGGGAGGGATCAGCTATAAACAGGACCCTGGAGACTTTTGCCTTGGGAAGTACAGTGCCTGCCCCAGGGTGGGAGTACAGCAATAGGGCTTGGTGGGTGGCACATGATGACCAATGGGAATTAGTCAAAGGGCAGCCTGTCAACTCTCCTCCCCTCTAACTCCAGGAGAGCTGACCGCCATTCAGCCAGAGTCTCTCCAGCGGAAGCCTGAGCCATGGGTGGGGCAGGGCAAGAGGGAGGGACAAGCGGCTGGAGTTGTAAGTGTGTGAAAGCTGGCTTCCAAGAAGCCAGGGCCAAGAAATAACAGGGAGAGGGTGACGATGGAGGGAGGGGTGAAAGAGCCCTGGAAGGAGCAGCCAGCAACAGGCCAGGCTGAGGGAAGGACCCTCCGCCCCAACCCACAACCCCCGGAGGCCCACTTTCTTCCAGACTTCCTTCCCCATCATCCGGCTCAAGCTGCCACATGCCAAATTTCCAGTGCCTTGCCCTGGGCCTCAGACCACCAGCCCTTCTCCTGGGTGGGGCCCACACCAGAGGCTTTATGATCCTGGTCTCCTCCCTGGCCACTGCCAGTTCTTTTCTTGTCCTGGGCAAAGGTCCCAGGGGCCTTTCCCAAATTCCCACCCAAAGAACCTCACTCCATCGGCCCCAACCTCCTTCAGCTCGAGCCTGGCAGGCCTGGCTGCCCACAACAGCGGGACCAGGAGAGCCCAAAGCCTGGGCATGCAGGCCCTGCTGCAAGCGTGTGTCTGACCTCCGGGCCTGGGGAGGTGAAGGTCTTTGGGGAGGCCCAGCTTACCCATCAGTGCAAATGGCAGCTGACCCAGCCTGGGCCACCCAACTCCCTGACCCAGCCCTGAGCTCCTGACGTCAAGGGGGAAGGGCACGGATGACAAACCCAAGAGGGCTCCACCTTCTGCCGATCAAGAGGCTCTCCTGACCCCACCCACTCCCTAAGAATCTGGGCCCCCCAATCTCTATGCTCCCTATGAAGACAGCAATGGTCCCTGAGAGCTGCCCACAGACCCCTCCCTTCCTCGCTGTGAGAAACTGGGGCTCCCGGGCCCCCCGCAACAGCTCCTCTGGATGTCCCTGTTCTCAACCAAGCGGAGACACCAGCAAGTGAGACAGAGAAAGACACAGAGCAGCATCATTTACAATAAATGCTATATTGTGTTCACATGGGAGAATTGGAGACTCGCAGACTTCCTGTCCCCAAATGAGACGTTCCTGTGAAGGAGGCTGAGGGCTTCTGGGCTGAGAGGTTACTGCAGGGATGGGGTGAGACCTGGGACAGGAAGGGAGAGGAGGAGCGCGGAAGGAGGTGGGAAGGGGGGGGGGGTTAGGCAGTAAGGGAGGAGAGGGAGTTAGGAAAGGAGGAGGATGGGGCTGAGGCAGTTTCCTCACCTCAGGGTCCCACTTCCCCTCAACCTGGAGGACCTGGAGAAACCCACATCTCCCACCCCCACCCACGGGCATCCAGGGCCCTTGTGGGAGAGGAAGGGATGGAGACTGAGAAGGGGGAACTAGGGCCTGGGGAGTGCCAGCTAGGGGTCCTAAGTGGCAGTGGGCATAGGGACAGGGGTGGGGCAGGGAAGGACTTAGGACTGGGATGCTGGGATGGGGGTTAAGGATTTAGGGTGGAAGGAACAAGGATGGGTAAGGGGAGAAAACATAAATGGGGAGAGATGTAGGGCTGGGAGCTGGATAGGGGAGAGGCGTGATTAAGAAGTGGGTTTAGAGGGGGAGAAGATATAAGGAATGCGGGAAGGGTCCCCCAGGGAGTTACCTTAGCAGAGGGTAGGAGGCAGGGATGGGCTGATGGCTGGTGACAGGTGTTGGGGGGCAGGTGGTAGGGATGCGCACAGGGAACAAGAGACTGAGGCCTGAGATGGGCAAAGGATGTGGGGACTGGGAATCTGAGAGAGGCCACATAGATGAGGGCTGACACAGGAAGGTGCATTGGGACAGAGATCTGAGCGACCACATCTGGTTTGCACAATGACTGTTCAAGGTATCAGGACAAGTATGCTATACACATTTTACAAGTTCAGAAAAGCTACTGAGTTGCCCAAGGTCCCACAGTGGAAGATCCTGGATTTGACCTGGGTCTGCAGGTGGGTTTCATCCAAGTTGAGAGGGTGCCGGTCTGGGGATGGTCTAATTTTGCCCAGGATTCCAGGAGGCTGAGCTGCACGCGTCCTTGGCCATCTCTTGAAATGGATGCAGAGCAGATGCTTCCTTCCCGCTGTCCAGGGCAGGTGGATAGGGTAGGGCAGGGTTCACATCGAGGACAAGTCCATCTCAGGTGTCTGGGTGTGCACCTGCCACAGAGCACATGAGAAGGAGTCAGAACAGAGCCACCCTGCTCAGGCTGGCTGGCAGGTCACTGCCTCCTGGCCCCAGCCCAGCCGCCGGCTCTGGTGGGCGGGTGGGGCATCTGGAGCTGGACCTGGGAGAACTTACCATCCCCCCTTTGCCCTCTCACCCTCACATTGGTGTCCACCTTCTCCAAGGCCACCTGGAAGTTTTCATCCTTGACTAGAGAGTGAGAAAAGAGGAGGGGAGAGAAGAGGGAGAGGGAAGAAACATGAGGCAGGCAGGGCTTCAGGGGGCTTCTGTGCCCCTACGTGCCCTGCCAGGACAGCCTGTGCAGGACCTGGCCTCCTCAGGAGGGGCACGGGGAAGAGGCGACACCAGCGGCCTGGCAGGAGGTATGTGTCTGTCCTGGCCAGGGAAGGTCATCCGGTCCTGCCCAGGCTGCTGTGGTACCCAGGGAAGCCCCTGCCCCACTTCCCCAGGAGGCAACACTCACAATGTCGGTCATCCTGGAAGCCCAAGTTGGAAAAAGTCCCTGCGGTGTCCTCATCCCACATCTCGAAGCATTTCTTGTCATCGTCCCAGGACCTGGGTGGGGACACCGCGGCGTCAAGGCAGGGCCTTCGCGTCTGTGACCCCTCTGCCGCCCTCACCCCCACCCCCAGGATGCTCACCGGGCTCCTCCTCGGCCGCCCCTCCTCCTCCAGCGCCTGCAGAAAAGGCTCAGCGCCAGCAGCAGCAGCACCAGCAGCAGCGCTCCGGCCCCGGCCAGGCCCCCGACCAGCGCCCTCCACTGGACGGCCACCTCGCAGCGTGGGCCCAAGAACCAGTGCGTGTCCGTGGAGAAGCAGCTGGAGAGTGGGTCACAGGTCACAGACCCCGCCACCTCCCCAGCCCTGTCAGCTGGCTCAACTGGACCCAGCCAGGGCTGGCAGCGGGGCGGGGCTCCGCACAGGGCGAGTGGGCGGGGCGCGCACGTGTGGGCGGGGCCTCACCGGCACTCAGGACCAGTCTTCTGCACAAAGCACTGGCCCTGGTTACAGTCTATGGCGCCTTCCACGTCTGACGTGCAGTTGGTGACACAGCGGAGCCGATTCTCCTCCTCCAAGGGGAAGTAGTAATCCTCATAGCCCTCGGGAGCGGCCCGACGGCAGATGGCTGTGGGGAGAAGAGGGGGTTGCAGAGAGACTACTCAGGAGCCTGGTTAGGGGGACTCTGAAAATGGATGGGGAGGACTCCATTTCTGAGGGTGGGGTGTCGTGGGGTAGACCGTGGGATCCGAAGTGGCCAAGGAAGACCCCCAGGACTCTCACCCTCTCCTCACCCTGCCTGCCAGTGCTCAGGTGGAAGCTGTTAACAGGGCCAGCAAGACATCACTTGCCTCCCCAAAAGGTCTCCCCTTCTCCCCAGAGAATTTCAGCGGGCCGATGTCCCTGGGGAGAGGAGTCATGACCCCCTGGGGCCACTCAGTCCTGTGTCCCTCTCCTCACCTTGTGGGGTCATCTCCGTCCTGGTGTCGTTGTTCACTGTGATGGAGTCAGGCTTAAAACACAAGGCTGGAGGGACAGAGACACAGGTGGAATTGGGGTGGGTCAAGGGGTCCAGGCCAGGGAAGCAGGGCAGGCATGGGGAGGGGCAGACAGGGCTCATCTTCCCCAAATAATCGGGGGTCCTCAGCCATCCTGGAGACCTTGAGCAGAATGTCAGGGGGGTTCTTCCCCAGCACCCAAGTTCTGGCAAACCCCTCCTTAGCCCCATCCTTGACCCAGTTGGCTGTGAACCTGTGCCTCTTCTCCCAACCTGCCAGAGGTACCACAAGGCTGCTACCTGAGCCCAGGAGGCCCCTGTCTGTGCTGGAGTAAGCTGGGATGTTGGCTGTGACCATGACCCCTCCCTCCAGCCCAAGGTCCCCAGCCTTGGCTCACTCTGGTTTTTCTGGCAGCTGTCCACATCCTGGCTGACATTCTGAAGCTCGCCTTTCAGGGCCATCTTCAACGTCTCATAGTTTGTCTCCAGCTGGGAGCTGAAGGGCAACTCCAGCAGGACCACATAGTCCACCACGATGCTGCCATTCCTGAAGGGGTCAAGAAGTTAGGGGCCTTACAGGCCTCCCAGGCCTGGGGCACAGAGGTTCTAGAAGGGCACATCCGGGGCCAACCATAGGTGCTAATGTGTAGAGGGGAAGGGGGCAAAGGCAACGAGTTGGGATCCCTGGCACGTTATTTTCAGAAGGGGCTGCCAGCATCCCTGACGTCGTCAGCCTGGGAAGGCAGGACTAGGAATGATTGGCATTCCTTTGCATTGCCTCAAGCCATTACCAAACCAGGCCCTCCTGGGTTCTCTGCCTCGCTCATGCTGACCCACTCAGCAGACCAGGTGCCAGCCAGAATGAGACCAGCTACAGTCCAGACACCAGACTTCTCTCCAGCCCTCAGGTACCACTTCCCTACATGTTCCATGCAATCTCTCTCCTTCCGACTTGCTTAGAGAGGAGGGGTGGTGCCCTCCTTCAGAGAAATGGCTCCAGAAAGTGATCACTAAAGTCCCCACACTCCCTCCACCCCTCCCTTTATGAAGTCTGATGATTCCAAAAGCAAGGGATGGCTTCTCCAGCCTTTCTTTACGCCCCCTTCCCCCACCTCACTCTGCCTCCACAGCCTCAGAAGGGTCTCCTACCTCAGAGACAGGATCCCCACGTCCTTGAACCCCTGCACCTTTTGGTAAATCTTCTGCATCTGAAATGTGAAAAATTGCTGGCTCACGTCTGAACCTCCAGAGCTGAGGGCAACCAGGGGAGGACCTTTGAGTTCCCTACCCCTTCGCCCTCACCTGACTGCGGAAAGTGTTGCTGAAATCCTTGTAGGCCTTGGAAGTGTTGTCATGGAGATCCGGGGAGAACTCCTGGTCGACAGCCACCTCCATGCCCACTTCAGCGTTCACAGTTTCTGCACACAGCATGCCCTGCTCTGGTCACTTCACCATTCTTCCTGTCTGACGTCACCCCCACCAGCCCGACCTGGAGGCTCCTCCCATGCACCCTCTCCGTGTTCCCGAGGACTGACTGAAGGGGAGGATGGAGAAGTTGGGAATTCTGGGATGACTTGTCCCAAGAAGAGGGAAAGAATGGAAGTCAGGGTGCTCTCGTTGTCTGCCGCAGTGGGAGGCGAATAATGGCCCCCACCGATACCTAGGTCCCTCTCCCCAGAACCTGTGAATATGTTCTGCTAGATGCGGGAGGAATCAAGGTTCAGGTGGAATGAAGATTGCTGATCGGCTGACGTTAATTTGGGAAAATTAATGTGGACTATGGGCAAATGAATGTCCACCCAGGTGGACCCAATGTAATCACGAGGGTCCTTAACAGTGGAAGACAGAGGCAAAAAGAGTCAGAATGAGTCAGGTGAAGACATGACTAGAAGAGAAAGGCACAGAGATGCAATGCTGCTGGCTTTGAAGAAGGAGAGAGGGGAGCTTGAGACAAGGAATGTGGGAGGCACCAGAGCCTGGAAAGGGCACAGAAGTGGATTCTTTCCCAGAGACTCCAGAAAGGAGCACAGCCCTGCCGACACCTTGATTTAGCCCAGCAAGACCATGTCAGATTCTAATCTGGAGAACTGTAAGATGAGACATTTGTGTTGTTAGAGTTGCGAAGTTTGTGATAATTTGTGACAGCTGCAATTAAAAAAAATTACAGCTCCAAGCAACACCGACCAGGAATGTGGTCCCAGCCACGCATGAATGTGAGGGTCGAGAGGAGACATGGGGTGGAAGAGTGCATGGGAGCGAAGGCAGGAATGGAGGACTTGGGCATAATGGCGTGGGTGCCTCCACACAGACCACAGGGCTGGGCCCAGGGAGACTCGGTGACACGCAGAACACAGTGCAGAGGGCAGGACCTGATAACTCACCTAAATCCATCTGTTCCACGACAAACTCACAGTGGGTGCCATGGAAGGTGCTGGGACAGATACACCTGAGGCCATCCCATTGACCCTTGTTCTGGCACATGCTGTCCTGGCGCTGACAGTGGTCCCCAGAGAACCCCGGGGGACAGAGGCAGAGCCCCTGAATCCAGGTGCCACCATTCTCACAGGTGCCTGGGCAGAACAGGAAGAAAGGGAAGTTCAGGACAGGGCCTGACCTTGGTGACACAGGAATTGGGCAGGGGAGGGAAGAGAGGGAACAGGTAGACAGGAGGTCCAACCTGGGGGGGTGGTCAGCTGAGTAGTAGTCCAAGTTGTCTGTGGCGACGTAAGGGTGGTAGGAGTCTGAGGGGTAGTTGCCAATGTTCTTGGAGGCTGGGTGGTGAGTGAGGCGCGGCTGGTCAACTTGCTTGAAGGCATCACAGCAATTCGAAAGCTGCTGCTTGGTTTGGTGGTCAGTAGGAGGCTAGTGAAGCCAGGCGTACGTGGCGTGGTTACAGAGTTGGTGCTCATCGAAGTCCCCCTAGGGGGTCTTTGTATGCTTGTTGAAACTGTGTTGACAGGGACAATCCCAGTGCTGATAGAACTAGGAGCATCACTTATGACATTGGTGGGGCCAGGCTCAAGAACTGACGTAGAAGTGTCCATATGTGTAGGAAAGACACTAATCATACTGCTGGATTCAGGAAGGGTGAACTTCTCAGTGGGAGAGGGAAGGACTGATAATGAGACGGTGGGCGTAAAGGTAACTTCACTACTCGGGTCACTCTCCACACGTGGAGAAGTGGAAGAAGCAGGCACTGTTGTAAGTGATATGTGCTGTGGATATGTGGTGGTGGAAGAAGTAAAAATGGTAGGACTAATGGCAGTTTCACTAAGACTAGGGGTGAAAGGAGACGTGGATGTAGAAAAGCTTGTAGTAGCAGACACAGACGGATTCGAAAAAGCAGAGAGAAAAGAAGACCTTGGAATTTCTGAACGGGAGAAATGTGCGGATGGAGGAAGACGGCCACTGGTGAGGACTGCAGTTACTCTGCTAGAAGATACAGTAGGAGGTGGAAATATTGTAGATGCTGAAGAAAGCATAACTGTACTAGGAGATGTGGTTATGGCATTTCTGTGCATACTAAAACTAGAGGAAGATTCTGTGGGGGATATGCAAGAAGATATCAGTGATGTTGACGACACGGGTGTTTTCAACAAGTATCTGTAAGAGGTGCCAGATGTGTCAACAAGAGAAGGAGAGGGGGCAGGCAGTCTCATATCGTTGGAAGACACGACGAAGGTGGTCAAGGTGGAGACGGATCCCATAGCTGGGGGAGCCGGAGAGGACACAAGTGGGGCGGTGGGTGGCGCGAAGGTGCTGGAGGTCACCGGAGGAGGCGAGGTGGGGGACGGTGGGGAGGAGACGGCATTGGTGTTGGTGGGAGCGAGGGAGGACGTGACGGGGGCAGGAGCAGTGAGGGCTGTCGTGAGAGCCTCTGGAGGCAGGGCGGGGGTAGGAGGCAGTGTGGTTCTCCAGGTGGATGGGGCGTGAGAGGTGGTGTCGGTCGGGCTGCCTGTGTGCGTGGTGGCTGCGGTGGAGGAGGGTGGTCCCGTGGCGGGGGTGGAGGTCGGGTAGGCATGGGTGGGAGTGGGTGGCGGGGTGGATCCCGCGGTTGTGCGCCGGGTGAGGGTGCTGCTTGCAGGCGGGGTGCTGCCCTCTGGGTGCGTGGTGCCGGAGAGGAGCCTGCGGACGTGGCCGGAATAGTGGTGGAGGGGGACGGAGAAGGGGGGCGAGGGGTGCTGGTGAGCGTGGGCGGCAGAGGGGGCGTCGTGGCAGAGGTGGTGGTGCCACCGGGCGTGGTTTCTGTATGTAGGCTGGCGGGGGATGAAGGGACCGCGTGCGTGGGGGCCGCCGAGGGGCTGGAGGCAGCGAGTGTGGAGGTGAGGTGGGTGGCGGCGGCCAAGGCACCGGTGGTCGGCGCGGAGGTGGGGGTGATGGTGGCCGGTGGTGTGGTCGGGTGGCCTGTACTGACCGCTGAGGACGGGGCGAGGACTGTGGATGCCTGCGCGGTGTGGGAGGTCGGCGGAGGCGGGCTTCCTGCCGATGTGGTGGCGCTGGCTGTGGAGTAGAGGGTGGAGGAAGAGGCCCCGGGCGGGCTGTGTGGTGTTGCAGGGGCGGGCGTGGTGCCCATGCTCGTGGGAGCGGCCGTGGCTGTGTGTGGAGTGGAGGCCGTGGGGGCCGGGGCCGTGACGGAGGGGGCCGGGCTGGAAGTGTCAGCGGGAGCGGTGCTCTCAGAGGTGCTGGCCGGGCTGACAGTGCCAGGGCCAGGGGCAGAGGCAGAGGCAGAGGCAGAGGCAGGGGTGGACGTGGCGTGGGTGGCAGGCAGCGTGGTAAGCGGGGCGGAAGGAGGGGGAGCGAGGGTGGCCAAAGTGGAGACGGGTCCCGTGGCCGGGGGAGGCGGAGAGGACACAAGCGGGGCGGTGGGTGGCGCGAAGGTGCTGGAGGTCACCGGAGGAGGCGAGGTGGGGGACGGTGGGGAGGAGACGGCATTGGTGTTGGTGGGAGCGAGGGAGGACGTGACGGGGGCAGGAGCAGTGAGGGCTGTCGTGAGAGCCTCTGGAGGCAGGGCGGGGGTAGGAGGCAGTGTGGTTCTCCAGGTGGATGGGGCGTGAGAGGTGGTGTCGGTCGGGCTGCCTGTGTGCGTGGTGGCTGCGGTGGAGGAGGGTGGTCCCGTGGCGGGGGTGGAGGTCGGGTAGGCATGGGTGGGAGTGGGTGGCGGGGTGGATCCCGCGGTTGTGCGCCGGGTGAGGGTGCTGCTTGCAGGCGGGGTGCTGCCCTCTGGGTGCGTGGTGCCGGGAGAGGAGCCTGCGGACGTGGCCGGAATAGTGGTGGAGGGGGACGGAGAAGGGGGCGAGGGGTGCTGGTGAGCGTGGGCGGCAGAGGGGGCGTCGTGGCAGAGGTGGTGGTGCCACCGGGCGTGGTTTCTGTATGTAGGCTGGCGGGGGATGAAGGGACCGCGTGCGTGGGGGCCGCCGAGGGGCTGGAGGCAGCGAGTGTGGAGGTGAGGTGGGTGGCGGCGGCCAAGGCACCGGTGGTCGGCGCGGAGGTGGGGGTGATGGTGGCCGGTGGTGTGGTCGGGTGGCCTGTACTGACCGCTGAGGACGGGGCGAGGACTGTGGATGCCTGCGCGGTGTGGGAGGTCGGCGGAGGCGGGCTTCCTGCCGATGTGGTGGCGCTGGCTGTGGAGTAGAGGGTGGAGGAAGAGGCCCCGGGCGGGCTGTGTGGTGTTGCAGGGGCGGGCGTGGTGCCCATGCTCGTGGGAGCGGCCGTGGCTGTGTGTGGAGTGGAGGCCGTGGGGGCCGGGGCCGTGACGGAGGGGGCCGGGCTGGAAGTGTCAGCGGGAGCGGTGCTCTCAGAGGTGCTGGCCGGGCTGACAGTGCCAGGGCCAGGGGCAGAGGCAGAGGCAGAGGCAGAGGCAGAGGCAGGGGTGGACGTGGCGTGGGTGGCAGGCAGCGTGGTAAGCGGGGCGGAAGGAGGGGGAGCGAGGGTGGCCAAAGTGGAGACGGGTCCCGTGGCCGGGGGAGGCGGAGAGGACACAAGCGGGGCGGTGGGTGGCGCGAAGGTGCTGGAGGTCACCGGAGGAGGCGAGGTGGGGGACGGTGGGGAGGAGACGGCATTGGTGTTGGTGGGAGCGAGGGAGGACGTGACGGGGGCAGGAGCAGTGAGGGCTGTCGTGAGAGCCTCTGGAGGCAGGGCGGGGGTAGGAGGCAGTGTGGTTCTCCAGGTGGATGGGGCGTGAGAGGTGGTGTCGGTCGGGCTGCCTGTGTGCGTGGTGGCTGCGGTGGAGGAGGGTGGTCCCGTGGCGGGGGTGGAGGTCGGGTAGGCATGGGTGGGAGTGGGTGGCGGGGTGGATCCCGCGGTTGTGCGCCGGGTGAGGGTGCTGCTTGCAGGCGGGGTGCTGCCCTCTGGGTGCGTGGTGCCGGGAGAGGAGCCTGCGGACGTGGCCGGAATAGTGGTGGAGGGGGACGGAGAAGGGGGGCGAGGGGTGCTGGTGAGCGTGGGCGGCAGAGGGGGCGTCGTGGCAGAGGTGGTGGTGCCACCGGGCGTGGTTTCTGTATGTAGGCTGGCGGGGGATGAAGGGACCGCGTGCGTGGGGGCCGCCGAGGGGCTGGAGGCAGCAAGTGTGGATGTGACTTTGCTGGTTGCGTAGGTGTTTGGAGATTGCAGCAATGTTTCAGAAATGGGTTTCAGGTAAAGGGATGTGGTCAGATTCATAGGTTTGTTTTCCATCCTCCTGGGAGCGGGCAAAGTGATTTTGTGTGTGATGACTGGCCACGCTCCTGTACCTTTCGAATGTGAGGATCTGGTCAGGGTAGTGTTGGGTACTCCTCCTTTGGGTAAAAGGTCAGTAGAGTTGGCTGTGGCCATGGGCAAAGTTCCTGTAGTGGTGGTAGGAGACAGGAATTCATTTCTAGGTCGCGTTGTCTCCATAATAGCACAAAGGTTTTTCACACCCCGTAGAACACCACCAAGCTTACTCCCACCCCATTTTCCAGATACGTATCACAAAAGGTAGGAAGTTCCATCACTTATTCCCCATCACGGGCAGTTTGGTTTTGGGGCCTTTCACATTCTGAAGGCCAACATCTGTCCACTCCTCGACGCACTCCACTGTCTCTCAAAGGGGAGTGGGGGTGCCTCGGTCCCTTGCGCACCTTGTCTGAGTGACCGACCTTCCAGCCCCAGGATGGCCTGGGCTGAGCATGTGGGTTCAGCTGAGGCTCCTGCCTCCTCCGCTGGCCACCCCATCCCTTGCTTCTGGCACACGTGCTCTTCCCTTCCCCTGCTCCCTGCCCTCTCCTCCACCAGCTGCCCAAAGTCGTTGCTCTACTGGCTCTCTGCCCACACCCTTTGGCCCACCTCTGCCCCTCTCCCTCTGACCCTTGCTGTCTGGGCTGACGCTCCTCATTGACGAGAGAACCCAGCTAAGGCCGGGCTGGGGTGGGGACACATCATGGACCCCAGGAGACCAGGGGTCAGACTGGGGAAGCCGGCATAGAGAACAGCAAAGTGGAAAACAGAGATTGAAGCCCAGACTCTACTGAGACTGGGAACAAGGAGAGAGGACCACAGTGACAGGCTGAGGGACAGGACAGACAAGGAAACTTCCAGAAAGTGGTGCCTCGGAAGGCAGGCATGAATCCCATAAGGTTTATCAATATTAATAATAAAAATAGACATATTTTCTATCACCTACTCTGTTTCATCCACAGGGTTATTAGTTTACAGATAGACATCTGTTGCTCTGTAGACATATTACAGATGGTAAGAGTGAGGGTCAGAGATCTCTGAAAGCGGGGAGGGAGTGGCCGGGATGACTCGGGAGCCACAGCGGTTGTAAGCAGGGAGCCCCGACACCTCCTGCCCACTCAGTGTCAGCCTCCTCCTCACCTGGACCCAGCACCTCTTCCCTCTGAGAGCTGGGGTTTCACTTCTCAGCCAGGGTGGGGGTGTTATGGAGGTGGAGGGGCGGAGATTATGAAGATGACTGGGCAAGAGCCCTTGGAGCCAGGAGGTGGCCCTGGAGGCAAGTGAGAGGGTGTGGACCGTGGGCCTCTGGGTTTGGAAGGTCTAGGATTGGGGGTCAGGAGCAGACACGGGGAGGCAGAGGGAAGGCGAGTGAAGAGGAATTGCAGGGTTTCCAAGGGGCAGGAGAGAGAAGGCCTGGGAACCCACACCCACTGGGTGGTCTCAGATCCACCCTTTCGGACTAATCCAGATCTCCCCACCCCGGCCCTGCCAATGACAGCTGTACCCAGAAACGTGACCGGCTGGGGGCTGGGAGACAGGGCAGAGCTGGAGGAGGGGGCACCAGGACCAAAGGCAAAGAGGCCCCAGGGAGAAGAGGTCGCCCCAGAGGCAGAGGCTGGGACTCTCAGGAGGGCAGCACTGGTGGAAATAAAGGGAGAAACAGAATCCAGGGTGGAGGGAGCACCGAGGCTGGAGGAAGTGGGACAGCAGAAGAGGAGGGAGTCTCAGAAAACTGAACCAAAGTGGGAAGAGCACTCTTCCAGAAAGAGGGTTCACCCACTGTCCTGATGCGAGAGAGCCAACGCCTGCAACCTGCTGGGTGCTGGGCGGAGAGCGGGACCAGCTGGACCCAGCTTCCCTCTCCTCCCCCACGTCACTTCTCTGTGCACACAGAGGTCTGAGAGACCCCTCCTCAGTCTCCCCTTAGGCCTCGGAGCCACCCCCGACACTCCTGCCCTGGAACATCAGGAGGGTCTCTCCAGCTCTCCGTGTACCTCACCCCCTCACCTCTGGTCCCAGGAGAGGCTGTGAGCATCCAGAGGAGGCCGAGGAGCCCGAGCAGCTGCATGGGCCTGGTACAGTGGTGGCTGAGAGCCGAGCAGACGTCAGCACAGGGGACAGCAGCAGGGAGCCAGCCACGGTGTGCGCAGCAGCACCCAGCCCAAACTGGAAGTCGTGGTTATCTACCCTGCTGGGTGTGGGGGTTACGCACAGCGTCACCTGTGCACCGCCCCACCGCACCCCTCTTCCCCCCTTCTCCCTATGTCTGACTTCATTGGTGTGGGGAGGGAAGACACAGAGAAGGTAGGACAAGCCCAGGGGGTGTCAGATGGAGAGAGCTGCTGGTGGCCCATCCCCCAGCCTGCCTGGCCCACTCGGAGCAGTTTCCAGGACCCTGCCCTTCCCCTCCTCTGCCCCCAACCAAGAGCTAGCAAAACTGGATGGAGGATACACTTGGCCAAGACCTTGGACTCTGAAGTCTGGGGCCACCTCTCACAGCCTCTCCTTCATTTCAATCCCAGCCGCAGAGGAGAGAGGTGGAACCTTTCTCTCCTTCACTGCCTCTGCTCTTCCCTCTCTCCATCCTGCCCTTAGCACAGCTCTGGGGCTGTGACCCCATATCAAAGCCGTGGGAGCAATGCTTTCTGGAAGAATTCAATCAGAAGTCATTTTAATATCTGAGGATTTGGGCCAGGTCCCAGAAAAGAAAAATATGGATGGTCAATGGAAACAATCAATTGAATGACTAGCTTTGACCCAGCAGATTAGCAACTATTAGGACATTTGAATCCTTCCAGTGTTGGGAAAGGTGTGAAGAATAAACACTCCTTATCCAGCTGGTGGGAGTGTAAGTGGGTTGGGCTTTAAAAAGGCAATTTGGTGGCATCTATTAAAATTTTAAATACACTCTCAAGGACGCAGTAATTCCACTGTTCCATCTCTGTGTTCAAGAAGCACTTCAAGGAGGCATTCATGAGGATGTTAACTGCCGTCCAGTTTATTGCAATTCCAATAGAGTTTGAAACAACCCAAATAACTGTTAATAGGAAACTAGAACGACTATGGAAAAATCACCCTATAGGCTACCATGCTCAAATCAAAATGGTACCATGGTGGAAAGACTTTCAGAATGTCTTATTGAAGGAAATCAGTAGACACAGTTTTGTTAAAGCCCACAACATATACATTTCCTGTAAATACACACACACAGACACACATATGCAAGTGCATTCAAAATTTGGAAAGAGGCTCACCTACCCCAACAACAGGGGTAAGGATAGCTCAGAGACGCACAGGAATGATGGTCAGGGAACTTGAGCTCTATCTGTAGTTTTTACTTTTTACTTTGACGAAGATTCTGTCCTTGACCAAACTCTAGCCAGGCTCCTCTGAGCCCTCTTCTCAAACAGGCCTCAACCTTGGTCTATAAAGACTTGAAGAAACACTAACAAGGTTTCTAACAGCTCAAAACCGCACCTCCAGGATGACCACAGCCCCCCTTAAAGTGCCTGCCTGAGAAAACTCAAGGGTGCAAGAGAACTCACTGTCTGTTCCAGCAACACATGAAGATGGGGCCCATCTCCCAGCCTCTGTGGAGGGATGGGAACCTAATTTTGATAAGTGCCACTTAGCAAGCCCAGATGGGTTTCACACCAAAACCCCTCCTCTTTTTGTAATTTTTCACCTCCCTGACTCTCCTGAGCCCCTGCTCGCCCCCCTCCCTCCTCCCTCACTCTCCATTTAAAATGCCCAGTCACCTCTGTGCAAATCCAAGTGGCGTTCAGTTCACACTGGACTCTTTTCCCTACTGTAATAGTATCTTACTGATTAAAATTTGTTCTTACCACATTAACAAGTGTCTTTCTTGGTTTATCTTTAACAACTTGGAGAATATATTATGCGTTTGGAGGTAATTAAAAAATAACTCAGAGGAGGATTCTGGGAATCTGGCCCAGTAGGACACACCAGGAGTCCATCCTCCCACCCAGACAACAATTGCACTGGCGGAATCTGTCTACTGTAACAGTTTCAGGGTCTAAGAGTCTGTTGAAGGCTTGCAACTTCCAGTGGAAGACCTGGATGGTAAACTGCAATTAATTTTGGTCATCTTCGGCTTGTAGCACAGTAGCAGCTACCGTCCAACACCCACAGCCACATGGCCGGCAGCATTGCGTGTATTCCTGGAGCAGCTTGCACACTGCTTGTAGGAGCTAGGCTGGCACAATGGACCATGTGCTCAAATATCAGGAATCTGTGCTCCCATCAGTGAGTGCCGCTTCTGCTCAGGAAGGTGCAGGAGAAGAGGCACAGAGCCATTGTTATTGCAGCTCTCCCACATTCTTTCAAGACCCTGCCCCTCCCCCTGAAAGGACTTCTGGAGCATTTAAAGGGCCAGTGCCCTTCGCCCCTTTCATTTTTTTGCATTTTCCCTTTTTGGGAGTAAGACATTAAAGACTAGAAGATTCAAAACAACCACATATATAGGGAAAATTAGAAGTGACTGTGCATGCCCAGGGAGAGGATTAGAAAAGACCCGAGAAGACCTTCGTTTACACGTCATGCTGCTCTTTGGCACACAGACGGGCTGCAATAGTCAAATAAATAAATAAACAAAAGCAATAACAGAAAACAGCAAACCCTGGGGAAGGATGAGAATCTGATTTCCAGAATTACCACACTATTAGATTCAAAGGTTCAGTGTTCAACAAAAAATCACAAAGCATGCAAAGAAACAGAAAAGTACTGTTCATTCAAGGAAAAAACATAAATCAACAGAAACTGTCCCGGAAGAAAACCTAATGGCAGATATACTAGACAAAGACATTAGAACAACTGACTTAAAGATGCTCAAAGAACTACAGGAAGAAGTGAGGAGAGTCCAGAAAATGGTGTGTGAACAAAATGGAAATATCAATAAAGAAACAGAAAACCTAAAGAGAAACCAAGAAGAAATTCTGGAGCTGAACAGTCCAATAACTGAAATAAAAAATTCACTAGAGGGATTCAAAGGCAGATTGCAGCAGGCAGAAGAAAGGATCTTCAAACTTGAAGATAGGACAATGGGAATTACTGAGTCTGAGAAAAAGGAAGAAAACAACATTGAAGAAAAGTGAGCAGAGCCTAAGGGACCTGTGGGACACCATCAAGCAGACCAGCATACATATTGTGGAAGTCCCAGAAGAGGAAAGAGAGAATGGGCAGTGAGAATATTTGAAGAAATACTGGTGAAAACTTCCCAAATTTGATGAAAGACAGGAATATAAACATCCAAGAAGCTCAACAAACTCCAAACAAGATAAACTCAAAGAGACCCACACTGAGACACACCATAATCAAAATTTCAACAGCCAAATCCAAAGAGAGAATCTTGAAAGTAGCGAGAGAGAAGCCAGTTGTCACACATAAGATGTCCTCCATAAGATCATCAGCAGATTTCTCATCAGAAACATTGGTGGCTAGAAGACAGTGGGCTAAAAGAGTCAAAGTGCTAAAAGGAAAAAACTGTCAACCAAGATTCCTACATCTAGCAAAACTGTTCTTTGAATGTAAGGGAGAAACTAAGACATTCCCAGATAAACAAAAGCTGAGGAAGTTAGTGACCACTAGACCTGCCCTGCAGGAAATGCTCAAAGGATTCCTGCAAGGTGAAGTGAAAGGACAATAGAGAGTAACTCGAAGCTATATGGAATAATAAAGATCTCAATAAATGTAGATACTTGGGCGATTATAAAAGCTAGCATTATTGTGACAATCGTTTGTAACTACTTTTTGGTTTCTACATGATTTAAGAAACTGATACACTCGTAATTGGGGTTTTTTCTTTAAAGGTAAAAACTAGTATTACTGTAACTGTGGTTTGAAACTCCAAATCTTTTCTACATAATTTAAGAGACATGCATTTAAAAGAAATTTTAGTTTATGTTTTGCGGCACACAATGTATAAAGATGTAATTTTGTGATATCAACAACGGAAAAGAGGTGGGGAGGGACCTGTAAAAGAGCAGTGTTTTTGAATGTGATCGAAGTTAGGCTGGTATAAATTCAAATGAGAGTGTTATCACTTTAGGATGTTAGATGTAAATTTATGGTAAATAAATAGAAAAAAGATAGCTGTAAAATATACAGAAAAGGAAATTAAGAAGCAATTTAAACATTTTGCTACCAAAAAAATCTTTTTTCACTCCAATCATTGGTGTTTAAGTTTCATTACACCACATTCTCACAAGTCCTAGGTGGTCTGGGAAGGTCATATTACCACACTGAGCAGATGAGGAATAAAGAAATATATCAACTAAACACACACAAAAAAATTCAGCAATGCAGGAAATTAGGGACAAGTAAGCTCTGCAGCATATAGAGAGCAAAAACAACAATGACAGAAATAAGTCCCTCCTTATCATTAATTACTTTAAATGTAAATTGATAAAACTCTCTAACCAAGAGACAGAGATTAGCAGAATGGATAAAACACATGATCCAGGTATATACCGTCTACAAGAGACTCACTTGAGATTCAAAGAGACAAACAGGCTGAAAGTGAAAGGATGGAAAAGGATTCCATGCAAATAGTAACCAAAAGAAAGCAGGAGTGTCTATACTAATCCTAGACAAAATAGAATTTAAATCAAAAAAGATTACAAGAGACAAACAAGGGCATTATATATATTAATAAAAGTTTCAACACAGAAGTCAAAATATGATGTACACCTGAAATTTATATAATGTCATAAACCAATGTTACCTCAATAAAAAATAAAAGGTTCAATACAGCAAGGAGATATAGCAATTATTAACATTTATGCACCTAACGACCAGAAAACTATAGGAAGCAAAAACTGACAGAATTGAAGAGACAAATAGACAGTTCTACAGCAATAGTTGGAGACTTCAATACCCTACTTACGATGATGGATAGAACCAGACAGAAGATAAATAAGGAAATGTAAGACTTCAACAACACAATACACTGACTAGACCTGATACACGCGTCCAGAACACTCTCCCCAACAACAGCATACACGTTCTCCTCAAGTGCACAGGGGACATTTCCAGGATAGGCCATTTCTTAGGCCACAAATTAAGTCTCAGTAAAATTTAAAAGATAGATATTGGGCCTGGCCCCGTGGCCGAGTGGTTAAGTTCACGCACTCCGCTGCAGGCGGCCATGTGTTTCATTGGTTCGAATCCTGGGCGCGGACATGGCACAGCTCATCAAACCACGCTGAGGCAGCGTCCCACATGCCACAACTTGAAGGACCCACAACGAAGAATATACAGCTATGTACCGGAGGGGCTTTGGGGAGAAAAAGGAAAAAATAAAATCTTTAAAAGATAGATATCATGCAGAGTATCTTCTTTAACCACAACAGGATGAAGTTATAAATTACTGACAAAAAGAAAAGCAGAAAAATTCAAAAAATTGTGGAAATTAAACAATACACTTTTTCTTCATTTTTTTTTGAGTTATTGATAGGTTACAATCTTGTGAAATTTCAGTTGTACATTAATGTTTGTCAGTCATGTTGTAGGTGCACCACTTCACCCTTTGTGCCCACCCCCCACCCCACCTTTCCCCTGGTACCCACTAAACTGTTCTTGGTCCATAATTTTAAATTCCTCATATGAGTGGAGTCATACACA